ATTGATGATACCCGAGAGTAACGTTAGTATGTGCCTACTCTGTCCCGCCAAACCTAGCCCGATCCATAAGCTTCTTGTAGGCAAGGGAGTAGGTATTCGATGTGATATGATCCCCTTGTATGCCCAACTCACTAAGGGATCGTTTAAGGATGCCAATGGTGGATGGGATGGTAGAGGAGCTGCTGAGGCAAGTCGCTGTTCCCTTAGCAACCATAGATGACCGATCTATTAAGGAAGAGTGACGACGTTAATGGTATAGGTAACTAGACCGACCTCTATCCCCATCCATGATGGGCTTTAGGTCTACCCTCAGCTGAGCCCTCTGCTCAACTGTGCGACTGTGTATGTACCTGCCCGTCACTTTATATTCGATATACAAGAGCTCATCCATACACACTATACATGTAATTACAACACACAAGGTGATCACTATGGTCTCACCTATGGATAATCGCAGAAGAATAGTCAGGAAATAGGGCTTTAATAGTTGTTGATAAATCAGTATCAGGGTGCGGATAGGCCTGTTAGACGGTAGGTCATTTGTTACCATATCGATTGTTCCGAGACCTTACCTCCTCGAAGCTGAGCCAATCGCCCCGTATGTCTCGTAGACTCCGGGACCTCCTGTCCAAGCAGCTCATGGTAAGGTATTCGTCGGAGGTGGAGAGTAACTCAATACTTGTAAATCTTGCATTTCCTTAACCATAGTAGCTCTTTTGGCGAATCGATCGATTCGCACGGTCGACTGGCCTCAAGACGATTTAGGTGGAAACGTCCCACACCGAAGGTAATACTGAGGGTATGGATAGTAGCAGTATGGTAGTTACGAGATGCCTAGTGCATAGATCTGTTGCGCTTGGCTCGTATACCTCGAGTCGTTACGGTGTTAGTGGGGTGGTGATGAGAGGTATCGGTGGTCATGGTGTCTATGTTGTTGTTACTGTTAGATGGTTCAACGCCTTACATACCGCCGCAAGGTTAACTTCAACACCAAGTCTAACAAGCAGAAGCTTGTCAAGACTCCTGGTGGAAACTTGGTCTATCATAAGATTACCAAGACCGCTACTGGTCCCCGTTGTGGAGACTGCAAGGGCAAGATCAATGGTGTAATGAGGGATGCGGTATAAGCGTTTACGTGGTGTCATTCATCACTCGCACTTTTCCATGCTAGGCTAGACATCAACTGTTGTTCCTTTAGGTTAAGTGCCTCAGACCCTTCAAGTACTCTCAGCTGAAGCAGCGTGAACGTCACGTCTCTCGTGCCTATGGTGGCTCCATCTGTGGCAAGTGCGTGAGGCAGCGTATCATCCGTGCCTTCCTCCTCGAGGAGCAGAAGCTCGTCACTGCTGCTCTCGCTGAGAAGGCCCGTAAGGCTGCTCAGAAGTCCGACAAGAAGGCCAAGGTCAGCAAGAAGTAAAAGAGTATAAACTCCTATTGCCAAGTTGCTGTTATCGATGAACCTTACTGCGTGGTGGGCGGATATCATTTCCACTGGAACCAACTTAGAGTGGTGTTATTAGTAGTTAGTAGGATGAGGTAGTTAACACTGACAGCTCAGTGATGCAGTTGTTAAAGTATTGATGGCGAGTGGTAGGCAAAGGGGGGATGATACAAAAGATGTCGCCAAACGAGTATCTGTGTAAGACGATGATATGTATAGGCGGCATCGATCTATTAGGGAGGTTGAGAAGTTCTGGAAGGCATCCAGTAAGGTGGCTGAGCATCTGTATGAGAGAGATAAAGCAGCTAGAAGGCGTGAAAGGAATCTTAAGAAGTAATCATTCACAGTGCTCTGGGTGATTATGAAGTATATCCAGGTTGGACGCTCTTGTAGAGAAATCAGAGTTATTTGCAGCCTCTGTGGGTGATGCTTTGGGTAGTAGCCATTTACTGGTCTCAACTGTTGTCGAATAGGGTAGTAATACCTAGATTCAACGACTAGCCAACAGCCTAGTTATACTACACCATCTTCCTACGACTCCCCTCATCCACCATTACTGGACTCTGTACCATCCCAACCACTAACACAGGAGGAACGGCAGGAAGTGGCAGATGAAGTGAGGAGTGGTTAATCTAGTGTGCTGAGTGGAGGAGGAGTCCTCATGGCACCAACATCTTCGGTTTGACTTCAGA